ACATTCCGCCAAAAAAACTTCACCTCCTGTCCCCAGAAATCCAGGTAAAACTCTTGTCATCTAAAAATTTTTACAAGAAAGTTTAGAATAATTTAAAGAGTTGTGCATACACGGAATACCATGTGTGTGAAACAAGGACGCTTATGAAAAATTCCGGCCATAAGTAACAAAATGTCCTTAAAAATAATCTAAGTACCCGAAAATTGGTGAATCATTCCACATTTTAGGGTTAATTCATTTAACGGAGCCAAGGAGACCCAAATTCTCAGGGTTGCTAACAGACTCCACTGAACTCGACACAATATTGTGAAAAGGTGAAATGCAGTGAGAAAAATTACTTCGCCTTAACATTGGCCACTTTCCTGGTAAAAAAAGATTCCATGAAGTATCTTTGGGGCATTATACAAACCCGCTTAATGGCCAACTGGCGTGCTTACGCTCGCTTTTTTCAAAGGACATGTAAAACAGATAAAAACTTTTGAATAGTGGGCGTGTGCTTTCCATTTTTTCCATAAGGCATGCTACTATGGTCTGACATTGCTGTATTCATCAATTTTACGATAAAAGCGACTTCTAAATATAGTTGGGTCTTCCGGTTGATGAAGGCTCCATTGCGCTACGCCCTCGACCGCGGCCCCTATTCGTCGCCGTTCTCTAGGACACTAGAAAAAGTAGTCAGACATACTCCAGCATTGGCTGTCTTCCGCACTAGTCGATTACAAACTTCAGATGTGCTTCATTTGTTCAACCCTACTAATCACATTGACTGCCTCAACTCACAAGCATTGCTTCTCATCTTTCGCCAAATGATGAGGTCCTTTGAATGGTGACCAAGGCCGCTTTTCATTTTTAATGAGCTCTCAAGAGTAAAATACTTATGAACTTTTCATCGGTGGTATTGGAAACACAACGGAGTGCAGGGGACTGCATATTTTATGGCTCTTTCGTGAAAATACTAAAACTCTCCGATACAGTAAAAGTTCCCGCTAACCAATTCACTTTGTCTCTGATTTGACATCAAAACAAAAAATAATTTTGGAGATTGGAATGTTGGGAGAATCCGTTAATTTTAACAGTAAAACGGTGTTGGTTATTAGTTGATTAGCGGTGTAAAACAGAAAAAGATACAGAAATCGCATGCATGCTTTATGTCGAATACTTAAAATCACATATGTGGATACTCTGCCAAATGAATGCACTCAAATCCGATTTAAATAAAATAAACATAACTTCCAGGAGATGTTTTTCCGAAATTTTTCCTTTTTTAAAAAGTTGATGCAATACGTTTACTGCATTTTTAGTTTACCACCGCAGTATTTAGCATCATAGTTCATATTCATGACTCTCTCTTGAGGCTTCTTATAAACTGGCACCACAGAATCCATAAGTCAATTACCTCGGACAGTACTGAATGTAGTCAAATTATTGTTTCAGCATAAAGTGACGATATGTACTACTCGAGAAAGAAACTCCACAAGAAATTATTTCATAGGCAACCTTTTGCGCTAAACAGTCGTCTAAAATCGCGTTACTCATTCTTTCGCCTTTTTGCTTTCTATCTTTTTTCTGGGCCAATCTCCACCTCCCGTATTGCGCCAGGAAAGAGCTCCAATTGTGGAATGATTCGCAGATTTCATTAGTTAAGTAAATTGGACAAAAAAATACTGTCATGCCATACTGACTTCTGTTTCATGTGCATCTGTGCGCGAGGATGAGTGGGCGCATGCGTGTTGTTATTTAGTGTAAGGCCTTTTTAAGTGGGTGTGGTTTTATGTGTCCCTCTGCGGATAAACGTGATACTATGTGGGGTCTTACACCATTCCGCTACGTTCGGTGCACCGCACAGCACTGTATCGCACCGCGCCACTGTCAAGCTTATCGGACGGCGGCGAGGAAGGAGGTGAGGGGCTCGCTAATGGCTCGTTGGACGGGTTCAACGTCAAGGCAATCACGAGCGTAACTGGGCGGTTTGTGGGACTGGGTGGACTCAAAGGAGACGGCCGACTGTGCCGCAGCCTCCAGCCTATCGTTGGTAAGGAGTTGAGCAGCCGAATTGTGAATGACAAGGTCGCTGTCGTCACAGCGGATTGTCGTCGCCCTGGAACCCTGATGATTAAAGATTCGAGAGGAAGTCTGTCGGTAGCGCATGTATGGATTGGTTGTACCTTGATTCGTGCAGCACTCCTCCAAATCCATGCGGTCCTCACTCTTCTGGTTGGAGCAACTCGAATTGCGCGTCTGCATCCGAATGTATTTCAGGATGATCGGCAGTGTGGTGAATTGCTCCTGAAAGTGCACCCATAAAAGCAGCTTTAATTATTTAAAGGCACTAGCAGCCCACTGCTGATTTCATTAGTCATATTTTAACTTGGCACTGTTCAAGTAGAAAACGTTAAAACCAACATCCAAAATCCTTAATAAGCTACACCCATTTCAGCCATTGAAGTATAAATAAACGGGTTTGACACTGAAAGTTACATCGCACTTATCGCTATGCAGGCCATTAAAGCACTTGTAATTAGTTCAACCTCATAAAATTTATTGCTTTATAAACGATTTTCCGGGGGCACTTTTTAATAAATCAAGTTCTCTGGTTTGTTCATGATTGGAATAGGTAAAAGTACCTTAGGAGTTGGAGTTTAGGTGAACCTCAACCTCACTCTTTGTGCCCTGAAAAAACTAAACAAATGTACAATGGGATATTAGTTATGGGTGGTTCGGCCAATTCGTGATAATTTTAGTTCCAATGGTAGGACGGAAAGAATTTGAACAGATTTAGAATAAACAACCTCATAAACTGGTGGCTTAACGAAAGCCAATTTGGTAACCTTTTCAAATGACACACAATAGCATCTTTAAAGGCCCTCCATTGTCCAATAAATGGTTTTAAATTTGCTATTGCTCATATATGCAAACCTACGAAGTGGGAATGAAGTTGGCGCAACAACTAGGTATCTGTGGCTGATTTGTGTGGCGATAGACGCGAATGGGCTGAATGGATATGGAATCACGTAGAAAGATCTTGCATTTACACCAAAATATATAAAACTCTGTTTAATTACAAATTGTTACATAAAATAGACAAAAGAGACGAAAATGAGTGTGTGTGTGTGTGTGTGTGTGTGTGTATATGTGTGTGTATATGTGTGTGTAATCATGACCTATGATAGAATAACTTGGGTGTGAACCTACTGCAGCTGAGGCTGTAATCACAGCCCATGATGCACGTTTCAGGTGAAATCCATGAAAAATTATTTAGAAGGTAAATATTGCAAAATCAAAGCAAAGAAGCCGGCTATGACTTCACGCGGATGTGGGAAAATTCGGTTAGTACTAAGGTTGAGATTTGTTCAGGCACAGCCATATGGTGTTGCTCCTTGATTTTCTCCTTATAGCTATCAAGTGAACAAATTATCGGTAAATTAGACCGTAAATCCAGGCATTTAGGGGAACAAAAGGAGCGCATTTCCCTGGCTTGTGCTTGTAGGTTCTAAGCGAAGTTCGCATTAGTTAAAATAAAATACAAAAATTTAAGATAACTTGTACACTTCTGTTAATCAGGTCCTGGTAGCTAGTGACCCTGCAAGAACGCTTACCTTTACCTCCCTGACCGTGCAATACGAGGACCAATCGCTTGACACTGGACCGACAAGGGTGATGAAGTCAAAGATTAGGGTGAAAAGTTAATAGGTGGTTTTCATAGCAAAATGCATGCATCTTCCCGTGTGTGACACTACTAGTGACATTGCATCTGGACTATTTTTGAACCTTCCGGACAAATCGGCGATTTTTGGGGAAGCAGACTAGGGTGGGTATGTCAATAAGCATAAAATTTAGGTGAAGACTGACCTTAAACGTTGAGCCGTTGAAGTCAACGCGAATGAACAAATATTTATGGTTTAGTGGGTATATGTTTTCAAGTTCAATTTGATGCAGAGCACAGTCCATTAGTTCACATATATTTTGAGCTATTTGGAGACTAATAACAGTTTAATAGCTTGTATCGAGTGCACTGCAAAAAAAACTTTGATAATTGCCATTAGTGACCAGAATGACGGGCCAATATGAGGTTTTATGGCGATCAACAAACGCACTTACCTGAATACGCACCAAAGATTCCTCGATCGCTTCCAAACGAATTTGGAGTCGCGTGTGTTGAATTCGCATCTCCGATACAGTATCGTTTATTATAGATTGGGTCTGCAGACGTGAAAAAAAGGAGGGTACACCAAATGATAGCTTCAATAATAGGCATGCTAATACAACATTTGAACGGAATTTTTCGTATTCAGGTGATGGTGGGCAGATAAATACCGATACTGGAGACAACATTTAGGGCATTGGTGAAACTGGGACAAAACCATTAACGCCTCTAATAATAAATGATTGAGTTGAGCAGAGATTAAGGTAGGTATTCCAGCTGAGGATAATGGCAGACAAATAAAAACAGATGGTTTTGAACGTTTTTTAACATAAAACAAACTAAAATGACTTTCGAATTCGTCACGAAACAGAAGGGAATTGGGATGTCTGGCAGAAATGTTCTGGGAGGAACTACATCTGAATTAGCATAGCAAGTACAAAATATAGATGTGTCGTTACAACTCCTTGGATGGCTTTAAATCCGAAAAAACACCTCTTTTGTGCACGGGACAGTATACCATGGTCACATCGGCAATCAAATGAGCGAACACAGAGAAAGCATATTTCGGCGAAAAGTGGGAACAATAAGTTGATAAACAAAATAACTTTTTTTGCTTAGAGATATTCCCACTTAAAAATTTCATTTTCATCTGCTATGTTTATCGAAATGCCAGAATTGAAGGTGTGATCAAACCTACGAATTTTTCCAACGGTGACTCCAGCCCCTATCTCATTCCTTGGTTGGCTTCAAAAGATAATGTATTGAAAGGGTTCCATTCTTTTGTACGTTCAAGATGTGTGTAAAACTTATTTAGAATGCGGGCGAACTTATTATCTACTCAAGTGCCATTTCGAAACAGCAGTTGAGTCACTGTCCTTTCAACGAGCTTCACTTTACTCTTGGTTTTCCAACATACCGACACCAGGCTTGAAATCTCAATCTCGTTTTCACACTGAATTTTACGATACGTGAAGATTATCCGTTGATACAAGGTTTGGACTGAGCTTCGTCATAATCTTATCACAAGTAAGTTGTAGTCAGAACTTCCAGAAAGGATTTTGAGTAATATGACAAAGCCAAAAGACGTTATTGGTTCTGTGTTCCTTTCCTAATTAACTTGGCCTACCATGCTCGAGATTTCCCAATCAGATTTACAAGCACTTTCGAGTAATCACTTCAGATCGCTGATGCTGCATGCATGTAAAATCTGTAAATCTTATTTCCATCAGAGGAATTGTACACGTTCAATTACCAGTGGCAACTGATTAAACACAATAAACTATTTGGATTACTGCTACAATTTGGTACGATTCGCAAACCACCAGTTTCTCACATTCATTGGGCCATGTATTTACAGGAGGTAAGCTTGTTTCTTCCTTTGAAAGACTTTATAAGACTCAGATGCCCTACTAGGCTTCGAAAAAGAATTCGTAGCACTTGGCAATATAGATTACCGCACAATTTCAGTGATAGTTTACATCTGTAAATAACAATTCATAATTTATGTTTACATATTGTGAAGTATCTTGCAAAAAGTCAGTAGAGGATGAAGATAAATAGTAACCTAGTTTGTTTTGAGAAGCGTGATTAGGTAACGATGTAGGTGAACCGAGATTAATAAGAGCTAAGGTATTTTACAAGGCTACTCCAAAACACCAAGTGTAAAGGGGAGAAGATGTAAAACACTACATGTCACATTGTCATTGAGATGTTTTTTGGTGGCTTCTCATTAACTTGTAGAAAAATTGGATGATAACAATTGTTCTTGAAATGTTTACCACGTTTATAGATGTCATTTGTAAAGCTGCTAGACACCTTGCCAGCGTATAGCCAAGGCAATACTTTAAAAATCTTCAGGCATCATTCAAGCTTATCATAATAATATCCACCAATATATACGATTACTTTCAAAACGATATTCGTTTGCATTGTTTTACTTAATGCATGGTAAATTAATGAGACATAGAGATCAATGTGAATGAAACTGGACGAAGATAAGGCTGTATTAAATAATTCGAGTTAATAATTAAGTCGTAATGTGCTAAGGGAATAAGTCATCTGAGGACTTAGTGTCTTGATCAGGATCAAATCAGCTCAATTAAGGCGGTTGAGAATATCTCCTGAATAAAAATAGAGGAGTTTCTCCCAATTTTGCCCTCAGACATATAACAAATTGAGAGAACTTTCGGCCTTTCTCTTATTCAGAAGGAAAATGTTACAAAACGGCGTATTTTTTAAACTTTTTGCAGGAGCTGTTGACAGTGCACGATGTCTAGTGGCTCACTTGTCATGGAGCCATCGTCAGTTGGGGAAATTGTCCCATTCATGCTGTGCTGGTGGTTGGTACTGGGGTCTGTGCGTAAACAGTAAAGCAGCGTTACTTACCTTGGCCAAATCAATCAAAGTGTTTGCATTATCCTGTAGCTTCCTCTGTTCTAACTTCACATGTCGGAGACTGGAAGAAACAAAATCCATAACACACGGTCCTCTTGGGCTATTACACCCTTGTCCATTTAAAAATATAAGATGTCATCAAACTAGTTGGTAGGTATTTGGATTGTGTAAGTAAAGAAATCCAGGAAATGGTTCATGCTACAACGGTGGAGAAATCACGACGGCAGTGAGGGCGAATAAGTTGACAGAACTGGTGAATTTCGCACGTACTGAACATATTTTGTATTGTACACTGCCAATTTTTACAAATATCAATCAGTGGCAATCCAGAAATTAAGATACTCGATGAGCACTTCCCAGGCATTGTGAGTGAGGTACCATTTAGGTCAATTTCGTGACTATTTAAACGCATTTAAGTGAAGAAAGAAAATATGTTGTTAGTATTCTAGCGATGGAAAATATAGAGCCACCCGATATTTATAAATACTGCTTCTTCAAGGTAATGTTTAACGGGATACTAATGTAGTCATACTTATTTTTTTTCGAGTAGTATCAATCTGCCGACTATATGCTGTTTGTTCTCCCATTGAATGAAGAATGTAAGAGGATGTGGATATGAGATTTGCTGAATCGATGGTAAACAGCTTCGTGCTCATCAGCAGTTAAGCTTGTGTCCATACTACCACCACTTAGGCATTCCTACACAAACTGAATCGCCGATGGGAAATACGGTGAGCATGACTTACTAACTTTCGTGATGCTCTTATGAAAAGCAAATAGTGATTAATTCTTAGTTTTTAGCCAAAATGCCAGTAGTCAAAATGGTCTTTCGCACATTAGATGAGGATTTCGCCTGGCAACCCACAGTGGAGTAGCTTGTTGATTGACAAAAGGAAATGCAAAAGCCGGTTCTCTTTAACAACTTTCCCTTTTGCTTGAACACCGCTTAGTTATGGGAGGCATGAGTGGACACGAACCACAGTCTAGTGTACACGTCCAGTCCACGTACCCATGTATCGCGCGGAGAAATTTTCGTTGGTGTTTCCTGATTGTAGAAGCGTTGAGCTTTTTCACCAATTTGGTGTACTTGTAGATCAACCAGGTCTCTCGCAGGACATTTGCTGCATAATACTTCATCTGAAACGATGTTTTGAAATATACGTGAAGTGGTAAGACTGAGTCTACCCCACGAACTAAAACACTTTTGACCAAAAATCATCACACCCAGAATCTTCGACACCACTACAGCAATAAATGGTATTTTTTACAATAAACAAATTCTGCAATTTAGTTTTTAAGAAGACTAGTAAATTCACCGACCAAAAACGCATAACGCAATAAATTCCCAGAATATCCACTTTGAATGGAACAACAAGTGGACAATCAGATGGACATAAACGTCCAAACAGACGACAAGTTTTGATAAGAGTTAGGGGATGCTGGTCTCTTTCGTCATTGACTTTCTCTGTAGTTCGACTTGTACATAAGAAGCAAAATCAGTTATCTAAGGGGTGATTAAGGGAAAACAGGTGATTGTGAGAGGGAACTGTAATAAAAACTTTACAAAATTTGAGAAAAAGTACCAACATCTGTGTATAGGCAACAGTGAATTTAAAAACCTACACATCCTTCTTCTGAAGAGGGAAACGTTAAAGGTAGTGGTCAAGGCAAAGTATAGGAAAAATCTAGAAAGGGGTGTAAACGGCTGACCTGCTTCGTAAGTGTACTTTCCATCATGAAGTGAATAACGTGTTTTTCCGCCCTGGAGAGTTCCAGTCGTTTAGCAAATACGGCCACAACAAGCGCAGTGCAGAGTGAACCCTGTGAAAAACATGGGAGAACTAAATTTAGAATCATGAGAGCGATTTAGCGAAACAACACGTTTTTTGACACTCGTCCAAAAACTCTCGCTGAGACTTCTCAAATTTGCAACAATTTTACGTGCCTACTTTGGTGCACTGGGCAGGCACACACTAAATTGGGTAACATGAGATGTCTTGTTTTTTTCTTATTTTAACTAAATAATGTGTTTTAAACTACAGGATCTATTAGAAGATGAAAACAGGCAGTCTGCAGGGGCTTCAAGTTCCTACAATTAGACGGTGTCAATAATTACTCCCTGCGTCAACATCTCCGCTCTCCGCTTAAAGCTAATCAGAGGCACGGTAGGAACTTACCAAAACTCCCGCAACAATAGAAATCGCGCGACCACAATAGGTATTTGCAACAACGTCTCCGTAGCCTATGCTCAGAAAAGTCACGGCGACGAGCCACATGGAATTGAAGAGATTTCCAAAGACCGGATCTTGAACGCTGAGAAGGAAATAGGGCAGTAAGAAGGGAACGCCAAGATACCTGTGGCAGTATCAATGATTGGTGGTACTTGCATCACTGAACAATCTTATAGTTTAGCTCCACAAAGCTGCAGTGGGCATAACAAGAAAGTTAGTAAGAGTTATTCAATGCTTAAAGGTGAAAGCCCTTTAAAGCAGATACAAAGGCACACTAGGCACAAAGGTTATATGGACAGGCATTAGCAATGTTTGGCAGACATATTCATTTCCACGAGCCCTTGGTTGCTTTGTCTACAAAAATGAACAATTTGTAGACGCTTCATTATAAACTAGAATTACTCCCTTAAGGGAATCACTACGAATAAATTCATCGAAGCAACAAAAACGGTGAGAGAATCCTAGGTAGCATTATTTATGCCACACAAAGGTTCTCCTTTGGTTAAAGGCGAATTTTTTCGTGCACAGGCTTATGTCTCTTAGATAGGTTCAAAATGTTTTCATCTTATATTAGCGTAGAATACACTGGCATTCCATAAACAAATAAGTGCTCAGTTGAGTCCAACCGTTCCGCTATTCTAAGTAAGCAGTTTTGTCTTCTCAATAATTTTAATGTTAAATAATACTTACACATGGTCAATAATTTAATTTTCTAAAGAAAAAACGGTAGACGGAGGCAACGCGCATTCTCTTTCATAAGGTTTTTAAAAATAGCATTCTATTTTTCATGATTTTGGTATGTGAAATGTATGCATTGGAAGAAGGGAATTTCGCTGACAGGTGATACCAGTACCTTAAGAATGGGCGCGAGTCAAGGTCTGTTTAGTATGGTTTTGCTTGGTACCTAATCTAATTGTAGCCAATTAAGTGACGGTTTCATCTTCTTGATATTAGTCCTTGTTACGGCTAAATTGGGGTGACTTTGAAGTGTTAATCACACAACGTAGAGCATTGCTGTTCACTTAACGCCGTGTGCTGAGAATTTGAATGGAAAGAAATTGTGCAAATTTGTTGTCTCAATCCTGAACAGTCGAGGGTACTGGACAGAGCAAATCGCCTCTGAAATATCACAATTAAGTTTTCGTGGACTGGTTGACGCTGCGGCTAAGAAAGTACCCACGATATATGGTATTGGCACACCATCACTTTGAATTGTCAGGTTGCGCTTTGCACCATCATCATCATACACACGTCACTTGCATGAAATGATTTAAAAAGTGATTAGAAAACCTCATGACTATTTGGAAAGGGTCCCTTTATTATAATACGCATAGAACTGATTGGACCTCTTTTATAAGAAAGTTAGCTTAAATTGAACACTTGCATGAGTGGAGAATTGAAAGACCTAATCGGATATCCATGTTCCTTTTAGGTCTCGCATTTTATAACGAGCATTTTGAGGCTTAGTGATGCCAACGTTAGAGACGGTGGACCGCTTCAATGTAGATTGCCGATGTAATCGTACTGCTTCATTGCAACACAATTAACCAAACCGCATACACCTTTTTGCGGAATGGAGTTCTAAAACACAGTTTATCAGAAAGCTACAAACATACTTCCATTTCCTCTCATAAGGTAGATTTTCGTAAGTTAAAGTTTAGGTGTGTTGAGAAAGCACTCTTGGATTGTACAATTGCTCTTTACGTGGTTTTAACATCACAACAATCCGATGGGTATCCCAAAACGTTACAGGTAATATTCGAAAAGCAGATTATTTGCAAGACTTGACTGACATACATCCCTAAGGAATTTGGGCCGAAACGTCGCTCCGAAAGGAATCAAAAACTGATACACTGTAAGAAAGTGGAGTGTGAAATTTGATCTGCCAATAATTTGCGGCTGAATAAATTGTGCAGGGGTGGTTTGATTGGTTAGAAAAAGGGGGGACATGAGTGTCAACATATGTACATGCGTAGTTGTAACAAGAAATGTTTACCGTTCACAAGCTCTTAGCATCCACGCAAGAACAGCCCAAAACCCAAGGATGAAAGCGACGAGCACGGTGCCAGGACAGATGGTCATAAATGTCTTGAAGACAAACTGTGTGGTGAAATCCACCTTGTTCATGGCCCCAATACTGCGCGAGCCCGTGTCGGTAAAGAGTTTCGAATGTAGCACTACTACGCGGAAGATGAGATAGAGGCGGAGGAACATGGGGAGGGAGAGGATGATGTCGATGGAGACCACTTTGTTAGAGGGAAAGATAACGTGCGGACTTCCCGAGATAGCGCTGACCCGGGGTACAGAGGCCCCAGAGGTGAGAAGACTGGGATCCAAGGTGCCGTTCTTGCAGTGAGCGCAGGATAAGAGAATGTTGCTCCCAAAGAGGTAATAGGAGGAGGGCCAGCTGAAGGTGAAATTGCCTGGCACTGGGTGGATTGCGCACACGAGGATCTCTATGACCAACTTCGCCACCCTTGAGCGATCCCATGCTATTTGCCAGTCCTCTATGCAGTCGTCGAAGGAGAGTATCTGCAAAATTTATCACAGTATCAACTACGATTAATGTCACACAGTCCATTGAATCCAAATATTTTCTCAACAACTAAGCAAATTTACTTTGTCCAACCTCTTCAGGTGACTTTCATGTTCATTGGGACTAATGTTGCAAACTACTAGCTTAATACAAACAAAGGAAAGCATTTGCAAATTAGTGAGCTTAGTTGTCGCCAGTCACCATCCCCATGACATTGCATGGAACCGACAATTTTTTGATTTGCATATCATCGTGTTACTCCATTTGATCCATTTTGAAATCGGTGGTAAGAATCCGCAAGGTGTTTTACTTAACGTAGCTATTTATCATTGGTTTTAAAAATTCAAAACTTACTGTTGCGGACTAATTCCTGCATATTTCACCCCTTCAATGGCAGAAACTAAACAAATAATAAATTTACAAATTTAGTTGCCCTTTGATTTCTACAATGTTACCCCAACTCAGATCAAGTGATAAACTAAGTAAACATACCCTAATATACTCGACGAATTGTCTACACATAAAAGCATGACTTAGGTAACTGGCTGGTCAGAAATAATTGGTAGGTCAAGTTTCTTGAAATGTTTTTGGAGTACAGATTTGCATAATTTTCATTTGTTCAGTGCATTGTCTCTGATATACCTAAAGCTGTTGTAATCATCGAAGTTGCGCCAAATTTCACTTATTTCTCTAGAGTATGAAAATGGGCCACGAAATAGCACCCACCTCGAAAACAGAAATTTGGAGTCCCTCAAAAAAGTGATGCAAAGCATCACTTGTTTCCACCAGTAAAATAAACCAATTTATTGGTTGACGTTCTGCTTGTCTGAGTCAATTGCGCAGATCTAAATAACGTTGCTGCAATACTCATAGAATGAATAGTCATCATGATTCCATCAAAAAATCAAACCTATTTCTTGCCAAATTCGCTAACACAAATGGAGGTCTGTTATAAGGAAGAGGTCTAACAGTAAGGGTAAAGATGGGACTGGATAATACAGTCACTAACAAATGACAAAGTAACCGTCTGGGCCTACGATTTATCTATACATCTTTTCAGCACAGTCAGACGAACAGGGAAAGTATTTCCTACCAGTACAACCGCGTCATTATTAACGATACCGTCTTTGGCAAGGAAGCTCACGGCTTTGTTAGATGTTTTCGTCGGCTTGGTTTGACTTGAGTCTAGTTATCAATGTTCAAAAGTGGTATTTGTGGACATTGTTATGTCATTTTCCATTTTTACTCCTTTTGTCGAAGATGAGGCTCATGAATGGCAGTATAGGAATTTTCATGTGTGGTACCAGCGCCCGCTATATTCCAAACCAGTTGCTGTTGCGCGTGCAGCTTAATATGGGCATAATCAGTATGATGCCTTTCATCATTCACTATCTTTGGAAGTGGTAGAAGGTAGAAGTGGACTCCGTCACATCATATTTTGGAGATTTCAGTATCAAAGCAAATGCATGTGGTCATTTTGTCCGACAAAACAACTTTTACAAATGTTTATGTATGTCCTCATTTATGGCTCGTCATTTACTGGCTCTTGTGATCTTATGGATACGCAATTGTAACTCATAATTATAGTAGAAGCCTCAATTTTCAACGACTCCAATAGACGTAATTTCTCTATTTTTATCTTCTTAAATCCTACCCGTTTTACAACAACAAACATAACTAGGGGAATGTTTCACGTTTTTTAGTTGGGTTTTGGCAAAAGTATATCAAATACCCCTAAAAAATACGGGTTAATGAATAGAACTGGAGTGTGGTTTTGAAAAGCCGCATTTTTAGTACCGCAAAATGATCAACTCAACCAAATAATGAATCATTTGCTGTGTGTCGTCCTTTCGAATGTTCTTCTGTATTTTAGGTGTAATTTCTGAATTCTACATGCAAAACTTACTAATAATTCCAAATAAGTGGCAATGCCTACAATATCAGCGTGTGAGACGCTTGTCGCAAGAAAGTGTGGTACATTCTCCGGGTTCCGTAGACAAAAATAAAGCGATAATATGCTGTGAAAACCACCTTTGGAATCCAAAATTAAACCCAGAAATACGGAGTGCTAAATAAGTCTCTTTTCTAGTTTTGCGTATTTTAGATTAACCACCTGAGTCTAGGAAATGAAAATAAACTCCTGGACTTTTTTTCTGGACTCGAAAACTTCCATACTAAGCTAAATCAGTGTCATGACGTATTCTCCAGTTGCATTGGATAGAGGTTTTTAAGCAGACGCAAATATTTTTTTCGGCTGGTGCATTAAAATTGCATAAGATTGCAGCAGAAGCAAATATTTGCAAAGTGCCCCACACGTGGATAAATTTACCTTCCGATTAAGTAAGACCAAGTGACATGCAGACAAAAGAGTCCATACGCAAATGAAAATATTGTGGGGGTGAAATTGTACATTCCTCACTGTCCTTCATGTTTTTTTTCAAAAAAATGGAATTTCTTTGTCAATAGGCTTTTTACATATCCGCATCGCGGATGACTTACAAGTTTAAACACCAGATCGAAGGCAATAAGCTTTGAGGCAAAATTTATTGTAAGTTCTATCAATTTAATGGATTGAGTGTGTTGTTACTTCTTATCTAACGGTTCAATCCAGAGGGGGTTACTTTCGTCCCACCGTTAAATCAGACGAGCTTGTCGTGGCTTAAGAAAATAAGGTAGTACAGTGTTTGAACATAAAAAATTTGTTAGTGCAACTTTTAACCGGTGATACATTTTACCAGTTTTCTTATCTCAAGCCCACCGAAACTGCTCTGACATCCAGATGCAGAATCCGTGGCGTGATTCATCCGCCATAAACGACTTGGACCCGCGTACCGCGCTCGCGGATATGCCTCGGCAACCTATGGGAATCACCATCCCAAAACAAGTCATCGGCTAAACTTATTGCCTTTTTGAGGCCAATTTGATGAATTGCACACTTTGGGAATTCCATATTAAAAGCAACCTCTAATAACGAATATTTTTAAAAATCCCTTGTTTATATTACCTCCTGGTGCTGCTGCTAACAGGAAAAATATGTAATTCATTTGAACGATGCATGATAAAAAATCGGACTTAATTCACTCAAATAACATTGTCATATTTTTGACATAGTTAATAAGGGGCAGTAAATTTTTTAGTATAACATAGCCAGAATCCTTTTTTAAATGAAACAAACAGGTTGAACGTAATGGTGTCTTAAATATTTCTTACCCTAACAACAATAATGTGGTAGAGGACGATAAGTCCGATTAGGGCCAGCGTTGAGCATGTTATCAGCGACTTCAGCATTAGCGACCAAATGGAGTCCTTAAAGCAAAACAAGAGGCAAATGAGATCGTGTACAAAAAAATCTAAACAGAGGACTTAATTTTGTAATTTAGCTTCTATCCCAATTAGAGTTCTGGTTTCATTTCAGTAGAACTGACAAAAAGTATTAGCAGCTACTCAGGAGCAGGTCAAAGAAAAATCGGGCAAATTGAAGTGATTATTAGAGGAGATTCAAGGCGAGTAATGCTACGCTCATGTGCTCAAAGAAAAAGCCGAAACCTAAGCTCTACTATAGTTTTTCCGGGTCTTCATTTGCTTCGAGCAACCTCTCGCTACAACATGAATCAATTGGGACTAACGTCACCTTGTAACCAAGGCCTTTTTTGATTTAAACATTCTTCTATTTAAGTACTGCGCTTGAGCTTAGTTAGCTTCAACAAGCTTTTTCTTAAAAAAAGTACGACTTCTACCTGTCTGCTCACTTGCGCCGACATGTGTTGCGGGAATCACCGGTTCGGTCACTATTAATGAATAAGCTATTTAAATAGCGCAAATTTATTCACTTCAAGTAGCTACTTGATTTGTAGCAAGAGCAAAAAGTTGTTTCGAATCTTATTTATTCCGAACATTTTCATTAATAGGTTAATAATTTTGTACACTTTAAAAACAACTTTGAACATTCCGGCTTTTGGCCTTTTTTGGTCAAAATTAGGTGACGCATGACTGCTTCATTTCATTTTTCCCAAACACATAACTTACTCTGCCCACAAAATTTCCCGTTACTTTGTGCTTTTACATAGCGTATGTTGACAGTCATTTGAAAAATCAAGGGAGGAAGCTATACTGGCCCGTGGCATTTGTGCTCTCATCCTTTTCTCCAACGCCACAAAAAATTAAAAGTGGACCTGTCTTTTGAGCAGCGTGAATATGCTAAAAAGCACTAAAACGCTTGTAGCCGTGACGTCAGATTTTTTGGCGTGCAAAGGCGGTTAATGGCCTAAACGAAGCCATTTTGCTGTTAAGAAACATTTGTCGAGGCTTTAACTTTATTAGTATGATTGAAAACAAAACGAAAATTCCGGCTTCATTTACAAACCGTTTGAGGACCTGGCTGGACACTTTTCACAGCATGCAAAGCCTACATCACTTAAGAACTCCTGCCTCCAAGAAGTCATTTCATTCCTATAATTGCGATCAGAATGCTTTCATCAATGAATTGACTCTGAGCGCAAAACACCAGTGGAGTTTTCCTATGCTGATCCTTTAAATCGCTCATTTTATTTATTTACACATCGACGTAACACTTTTGCGTGGTTACGTTTTGTGAAATACATACTCACCATGAAGAAAAAATGTTGAAAGAAGAAATGTAAATTTTGCTGCAGTTGAATATGCATGCATAAAAAAACAATCCCTACCTTTGAAATATTATTCAGTGATGAGATTTGCGTCTAATTTGGATAAAATTTTGCGAAGCAACTCCAGCATGCTAGGAAAATTGATTTGGCATAAGCGTTAGCATTGCTTACCTTGGTGACAACTTGACCTGAGGTGAGCTCATTTTCCACAATCATGAGGAGTATTCCCAACACCGCAAAGGCAAGAGAGTAGTCGGACACCACACTCCGATGCTGAAACATCCGCCTCCGTCGACCGAGTCGATAACCAACATTATGAAATGTGGAGTTGCTTTGATGGCGCGCCATTGCTCTCATACTACGAAGGCATATTTTACGAATGTTTTTAACGTAAAAGTAGCGTTTTAGTACCGTCTAGAGACCTAGTAATCGTTTTTTAATCATAATAGTAGATTGTCTCATTTGTCTAAAACCGAATAAGTTGTACACAAATCGCTTTAAAATGCTAACACAAAAGTAACTCCTATTTTATTAATGTTGTATAAGGAGCTATAAGTAGCCAGGATACACTTTCTACTCATCAGTTATTTTAAAATAATATGAGATTCATTAAGTAAATTTTGGACCGGAAAATAGGGAATATGGCTCTCGGTGCACAAAGCAGAATTATGGTGCATTTTCACGGGTCACAGTCACGGTCTTTAAATGATGTTGACGATTCACTGTGCTTCAGAGGCCGGGAAAATTTAATGGTTTAAGGATAAATTAACTTCCCAAAGGGGTATTTTTATTCGTTTGCTATTAGTATCACACGAATACATCCGTGACAACTTTTTAAAATCAAAGATAAAAGAAATATTTAGACCTACCGGCGCTGCCTCAGTGCAAACATGGGTTCCAAACAGGGGCCGTCATCATCACTTGACTTCCTCTCCGATGTCCGATGGGACACCTGGGGTTTCAGAATTGACGTTGGGACCACCTCTGAAGATTTTGTGAGTTGTTTTATCTTAGCTACATCCATCGAGGAGGCAACAGAGGTTAAATAGGGCGAAGGGCTTCTCTTCCTCCAGGACAGCTGACTTTTATTTGTACACGTGCAAGGAGTTCTGTGCAGGCACAAATTGTTGGGATAAGATTCGTGAATGTTGCAAAGGGAGGTGTTGTAAAGTTCGTCGTCTCCCAGCCACCCTTGTTTATCCGTCTCCACATCATGCGTGGGGGAGAGTTGAACTGACCGCCATTGATTGCAATTCGAAAAAGTTTTTTGTCTTCGAGCACGAAGTCGTGCTGCGTTCGCTGCTGCTATATTGGCGGCATTGTGGTTAACGAGGATGGTTTTTACAGGATTTCTTGAACCGCGTGTCAAGTAGACAGTCACCTGGGCACCACGATCTGTGTTACCTCCATTAGTACTTTTGGTGTCACTACCAGATTGAGACTCCACCATGGTCAACGATCTATCCCGCACTAGTTTACCTTCTATAGTACTCTGTGGGTTTTCGACTGACTGAGTGCGCCAGCTATTACGAAACTTTTGTGCCTTTTGACAGTAATAGGGACGTTTGGGTCGAGCCATATCAGTGGAGGCTATAAGCGTATCATCCTCTTGGTCCTCTCCGGTCTCCTGTTCCACTGAATTTATAGAAGAGGAGTTTAAATTGATAAATTCTTCTGTATCACCAGTACCTGACAGCTTGCAATTTTTGATCCCCAATAATGTCTCTTGGGCAATACTGCCTCCATAATTAGAGTTTCGATTGATGAGAGCGGGCTGTTTGCCTGTCATTGGGACGCAGGCCGATTCTTCCCACTTGGGTGGACCACTTCGGGAGTAGTCGTCGTCCTGAGAATGGATGTTGCAGCTGCTGTCAAAACTGCTGGCCCACGTGATGGGCTTGAGAGAAGTTGGCACCTCTTCTTGTGAGGAGTGTGCCTTATTCGTCTTCTTGCGCATGTTGGCAATGAGGCGAGGCCGGGTGCTGGCTGCCAATAGGGCCACAGCCCCACGAGTATCGAGGTTCGCGACGATGGCCGGAGGGAACGCAGAACACATCTCCTGTTTTTCACGGTCATGCTTAATACCTTTGACGCTACGAAGTTGAGAGAATCCTGAAAAGTGCAGTATTTATCCGAAAAGTTTATTGTGCAACCTTTTAAAATAACTCCGCAAAAGTGGTCGTTTTCACTAATGGGATGAGTGGAGTAGCAATACGATTAATCTCGTTGTCAAAAAAGGGTTTCCATCCATGCTTCAATGCTATTTAAATGACGTCCGGACTAATTCACGATCCCTTCGTAATGAATGATAATCGTGGACAGAGGATCATTTCATCCCGATTGAGTATAAAGCCTAGGCAATTTATAAGATCCGATGCAGGTATTACCCATACTGACCATTCACCCATATTTAGCAAATCATTTTGTAAATGGCAAAAGTTCTGGAATTATTTTTCGCTCATCATAAAGGAGCTAATATTGGGAAGGTAATAATAGGTTAGCACCTCACTTGTGAAAATTTATCAAATTTTCACAACATTTCCGGTAAAATCGTAAAATTCACCTTTATTGAAGGGAATAAGTTATGGTCATAAAAGATTAATATTTTAGCTACTACGGATAGTAATATGATATGCTTGCGTAAATAATAAGCAATTTTTAATACTATTTTTAAAGCTAATGGTAGTTAGTTTTGAATGTCTCTGATAAAGTCACGCGGACAAAGTAGAATACCCAAAAAATTTGCAAAATTGGAATTCAGCTGAACCAGGTCTTACGCCAAAATTGACATTAAGCGAAGTCTGGAGACCACATAACACGTGAAGTAAACTAAAAACTAGCTAAGAATTTGTTTGATAGCTGCAATTTTTAACTGACTGCTTCCTGTACTCTAAATAATTATTCTCCGTTTATACTTGACCGGCTATAAGGGGAATTCTTATTCTATGATTAAATTAGCCTCCGTGACAGTTTTGAAATGCGGGAACCTTTGTCAACCACTACGAAAATGCTTTTAGCGGAGACAGAGAGATTTTAAAACTTGATTAAACTCATCAGCGTAACATACAAGAGTGATATAGTCGAACCGCATAAACAACTACATTAAAGTAGAATACACTAAAGCACTTTATTTCAATCCCCGTGGACACTTTCAACTTGATTTAACTTACCTTTATTAATGATCTACTCAGTCTTAGTTGGTACTTGTGCCAGGCTGTCAAACCCTGGCTTAGTAAAGCATGTTCTGGATCCCTTCGTAACTTGTGATCGACTGTTAGGTAAGCTGTGCAGACGAAAGAACAAAGCAATGTCGTTTTACCCATTTTCCCTTCTTGGCTGATTCTTGCCCCAAAATGGATTGGCACACCAACACATGGTTTACCAGGTTATGCAAAACTTTCAACATTTGGTTTTTTAGGCAAAACTTATGCAAAATGACTTACGTGATTGAATGTAATTTATTTTGGAGTATCCTCTTAACTCCCCAAAACACAGACATGCTACCACACCCACTTTCAGACACAAAAGATTTTTTTATGTTGCAGAAGATTTTATGCGTGAATTGGCGATGGGAAAACTACTAGGCAAGAAAATCTTGTAGAGCACAATTCTTGGTATTTCTTTTGAATTCGGGTAACACAGTTTAACTTAAAGGACTCTAAAATGGGTAGATGAAACGATTTAGTTTAAAGACCTTCTTTGGAATCGGAAAGGCATATATTCTGACTACTTCGCTGCCACATTACTGATGTTAGACTGACTGCTTGATAATAAGTGAGCCATGACAACTGCAGAATGGTAGAGCCAAATAGTAAATTAAATTCCAGCATAGCTCCTGTCAAATTTACTTTGGGAGGGTCTATTTTACCCTTAAAAGGCTAGAATTCAGGATGGTTCACTACAGAATATTTCGGAATAGAATGCAATTAATACTACACAAAATCTGGTTGGGCTAATTTAACTGTTGGCAATCATAACTGATTTGGAGATATCATAGCTCTGTGATCCTCCACCCTACATTCCGACATTTCAAGTCTAGCTTAAAACAATCACACAGAACAGAAATTAAAGCAAATCCTAACCCGAATTCTTTTCTGGAAAAAGGCTTGCCTGCAACTTTGATTTTCTCCAGGTAAAAGCTCAAATATGCAAGAAAACCGTAAGTGATGCCAGAAGTCATAGTTAAGTTATTCACATACCCAAGCAAATGTCTTCCAAGTGCATCCTTATTGTGGAACAAGTGGGATTTATTTGTCGCGACAACTAAATAATCAGTTGATCATTGGAGAAACTGGATTGATTCAATTTATGGTCCAGATTAGCTTCTGTCCGGTGTCGTGCCCAAATGACCATGAGCAGAAGAAATTCAGACACATCCGGTGGGTATCACATTGCATAAGCGGTTGCTGTCATGAGTTTACCAACAAAAAATTGTAGTGATCTGCACGAATTCTTTGCTAATGCCAACTGCGAAGCAATGTTAGTTTGGATCAGGCAATTTCAAGTTGTGTTATCGAGAACGTTTTATTCTCAGAGAGGGGTAAGCAAAATTGCGAATGCGTATTAGGAATGTCAAATGTTATTTGGATAATGTGAATAAAAAGTGATGGCGCAATAATCTACCGAGCTTAATGCATTAATGCTATTACAATGGATCGTGCCAAAGTATTGGAAACTATTCTCAGAAGAATGTCATAGAACGAAAAGTTAATGCTAAAGGAACCTGACATTTTGACTGAAAATTATTTCATTTAAATTGTTCAAGCACCCAGAGGTATGCATTTAGAAGTAGCGCATATGAACGCAATCAGAGGATGGTAATTACGCTTGAAAATAACAATGCAAATAGAGTTGCAATTCGCATTTAACCGTGGATCTCGTCATTGGACATGGCAGCAATGAAGACAAGGCCAGTTCAGCCATTGAAAGCACTTTTCTGCCTTACAGGGAGGCGCTGCTCTCTTTTCAGCTGCTCATGAGGAGGTCAAAGCCCCAAAATTCGGCCGTCTATAAGATTTTGACGTATTTTCGAGTGCTGGCTGACTCAATCACTATTTTCTTTCGTCCGTCAATGAAAATTTACTGTAGTCTATCGTGAAAAGAGCAGAACTAATGCATAAATATAATCCTTTTTAGTCTGGATTTCTCTAAAATTCTATTTGGGTCTTCCTTTTTCTATTTACATAACTTTTAGATAGGGTCTTCTGAAAAATGATGCAACATGAATTATGCGAAGATGTATAATTCTGTATTAAAGAATACAAAGCACATAAAATTCACGAGGCGTGTGTTTAAACCAGCATCAACTTTCCTGCATGTCGTCTCCTTTGGTTTACTGTGACTTCATGCTATAACATAGCTTTCATACTGTGTAGAAGCGCAAATGTACTCCTTTACGGAACTCTTAAGATGCGGAAGGAGGTAGGTTCTTAAAATATTAAAAAGTCCCTAGGCATATGCATCCGACGTTTACTTTGTAGTAGGGTAAAACTGGCCAAAAACCGCACGAGGTATTTATTCCATAAAATTCACTGAATTTTCAACAGGTTTTATTTTTAATCGACTTAATCTCTTCGGATAAGCTAATGGGTGATTTGAAGTTGTGAGAATGCAATTTTTTAGGAGAAGTAGTCTATTAGTGGCGATGCTTTTACCTTCAACCTAGGTTTGAGTTAATCGTATTTACGAATGAGGAAACCATTTTACAGATAGACCACAAAGTACCATAATTTGAAGTTATTCATTAAAATAAAACAAAAATTTCAATTTATCCTAAGGCAGTAAGTTATCAGATGCCAACGCTATTTATTTAAACGGTATTCATCAAAGTTGATAGACTCCTTGAAGCAGCGTTTTTGTCAATTTTACATAACTCAAAAATACCCAAGTAGTTCGCAACAATGATACCTCATGATGGCGTTGCGTATGAAATGATTTTGGCCCGTTATCCGTAGGCCACATGCATAGATTTTAGCCATGCTGTAGAAGGAATGAGTGTTGCTAAACACTTACTACTATAAATAAACGCTAGTAATTGGTAGAATAACTGTGGTTTCGGAACCGAAACAGATAACTGATAAGGCTATAGCTAGCAATCACAATTTACCCGAAATTGCTCCACTGGCACGCATAAAATCATAGCTTATTTCGTCAAGTCCGGGAGTTCTCCTGCTCTTTCTCAAACTCGGTAAATTTACAACAGACAAGGCGTGCTGTTTGTGACAGGAGCAAATACTCTCGTGGCAAGTGCATCGACCTCTGAGAGTGTGTATTGGCAGTTGCGCGGCAGTTTCACCCATAGCACAACAATAGTTGCATTGAGATCGTACCCCTCCAAAGAAAGGTGTCTGTTTGGCCAAACGCTTTATGGCAGCTGCCTCTGCATCCGAGGCGTGTCCGTCCTCAGTGGACTCAGAGACAGCTCTAAAAATGAACTGTTTTTTTTGTGCATTCATCGAAGAGGTTGTTGTCTCAGCAAGATTATTCAAGTCATCTTTATGGGGATTTTTTAGAGTAATGCAGAAGTTGGTATCGTGGAGGTCGTCCACCGAGGCAGAAAATCCGCGATCCTTAATGTTCACGCCTAGACTTGTCATCGGTCTCTGGCCCTCCATCGGATGAAAGAGCTCTGTGGAGTTCTCATTTGTCAAGTAGGAGGTTTGTATGATGATCGGTGACAGTGTGTAAGCGGCAGCGATGTTATTATCTGAGCGGGATCGTGGGGATCTCCTAACGGTGTCATCAATATTTACATCGCTCGTTTTTCGACTCACGTGGAGAGGACTGATTGACAGCGACTCCTTGAAGGGTGCACAGCCAGAGGCGATAGTTGAAACGCGTTCCAAATGTTTGGTTAGTGCGCCCACACCTGCTGTAGCTGGCCGAGAGGGCAGGTGCGCGATTTGATAGGATTCAGGCGGGGTTTCACCAACGTCGCATAAAGACAATTCCTCTAGTGGTTTGATCGAGTGGATAAACGGTGTGGGATTCACTTCATTACCCTCTACCTCATTGATACGAGTTAGCCTGCAATCGTTATCCAGAAGAGACAGTTGAGGTTTCTTTGGTGCCAGTTGCAGTTTCTCGATGTCAGAAGTATTCATTCATTCGGGCCAATTGTCATAAAAAGTTAAAAGCCCTATGCTCATTTAGCAGCTTATGTTTCTGCTAACCTTCTATTTTGCAAGAGCGCGAGTTTCCTTTATCCCGGTTTAACTGATTGGATGATTTCCCGCTAATTCCCATTGGGCCAGTGAGGCATAGACACCATTCGGTGGTGCTTACTAGGGCGGAGGGAACATTGTTACAAAAACCACAAAAAATATCACTTGATATAAAATGTTTCAACAAATTCTGATATTTGCTGAATTTGTTGCAAATGATACATGTGAAAATGTGAATAAATAACTTATTGGCCTATCAGTGAAAAAAAATTTTGCTAAAAGATCGCCAAATGCAGTGATAGAAGGAATTGGTAGAAATTTGTGGCTCTGGACTTTGCTTTCTCCTATTTTACGACAGTCAGCCAAGTAAAGTGAATGTGAAACAACTTGACCTCGAAAATATCTCAGCAAGTGCAAATAATAGTCATTCTCCTATCAGACGCATGAACAGAATCTACTCGTGTCTTGACAACCTTCATTAACCCCTTTGGCACCGATTAACGAATAACCTTATCTAAATATCTCTGGCCACAGGATCGATCTGTTCTTTACCAATAAAAAAAATCGGAAAACCAAACAAGCAGTCGATTTGTGGGATAGGATCAATTCGAAATGCCAAAATTGATGTTAGATTTCTTGTGAGTTGGGGGTAAGAGAACAAACAACATCTATATAATTACTTACCTTAAATAGTTTGGAGGATTTTAAAATATCTTTATAGAGGAATTACAAAGAGTGGTAAAAAAATTCACCGTTTTTGTTAAAAAAGCTGGCGATGAAAGGCTTATTTTGTTCAGAGTTAAAAAGCTCAGGTAAAGGTTGAGGTTAACTGGCATCCTTTATACGGCAAAATCTACTGGTTGCGATTGAATGCATGGGATTCTAAGGTGGCTTGATTTGAGAAGTCATTTTGTAACCTAGACAACCATTTTCTCAAAAAGGAAACCAAATAATGCTGTTTCGTTCTCTTAGATACCATTACAATGATAGCAGTACATAACAAGAGGGGTTAAACACGGCAAATAATAAAATTACGCGCAGACGGCTTTCTTCAAGTAGTGATGCAAATTAGGATAAAAAAATGGCACGCAAGAAATGCGTTCAACATTTTATTCAATATTTTAGGTTTTCTGTCAACTGCATCTTTGTCGCATCGAAAGTACGCACCCTGCTACCTCCGTATCACGAATTTGAGTCTGCTTTTGTCCATAATCGCGCGTTAGGGACTATAAATCCTCCAGAGCTTATGGTAACTGAGGTTAATGCGTTGTCAAGTCTGACTACTAGGTGTTAGACTCTTAACAAAAGTAGTCTTAACCGTCATTTAAAGCATGGGGAGCAATGTATGGTTTCATTGGTGATTTTTTTATAAATTCTAATATGCCAACCCTACTTTCAGTTTTCCTGCGTTCCAGCCCTTCATGAAAACATTCTGTTCTCTCAGCCATGCACGGCCATTCATTTATCAAAAAATACTAAATTGTTTATTAGGAAACAATCGCGTCATTCCAATGTTATGATAAAAAAGAATATATACGTTGGGTTGACGTAATTGCTGCTGCTCTCTGATGGGCAAAACACTCTGCAGCACCAGTGCATTAGTGATTGTTACATAAAAGGGAAAATTGCCTTGTATGCACGCTGGTGAATGCAATCAAGATCGTGACCAATCAACACTTGCTTCTTAAATGCATCATCTGGTGGGAAACGCTTACAGGATGCTTCGGCAAGCAATCTTCTCCGGCTGGCTCACTGAGCACAAAAGGGTGGTCGTGGCAGTGGCAGTAGTCTGTGACTGTGATGGTAAAACTGCCTCCCCTCACCATGTCACACAAAATTCAACGGAAAAGCATAATTAAACTGTTCAATGCGGAGAGTGCATTTGCTAATAATAGACTATGTTTGGATGTCTTTAATTTCTTGCTAAATGATTTTTAAGTAGGAGAGTGTGTCACATCAAAACTATCCAAACGGATTGCTACACAGGCCTTTTAAGAAATGCGAGGAGCCGTTACCATTGATAGCACACTCGAAGCTCTGTCAGTCGTGGTGTTGATAATCAGAACTTGGCAATTCGTCGCTGCAATGTCGAACCATCTCCTCCAACGGCATACATTAACTTTGGCATTATGGAACTAGAAGATGCAATAGCTAGGATGGTATTTCACATAACTTAAAACAATTGCCTTTGGGGTAAGCTTCTTATAAAATCCTAACAAATCATATATTACGACAAGTACTCCTTCAAAATCTATTTTCAATCCACATCCCTGTGACATATGGAATGGAACTTTTGTTGCATTCAAATTACATAAGTATTTAAACAATCTCACTCGTCTTCTCGTTCCCTGAAAGTAATCAAATCTTATTAACAAATGGCCAGAATTTTGTTTTAATTAGTATTGAAGCTTTGCAAAATTCACTTTCACGTACAAATCACTGAATTCATGTCTGTACTTCTGCATTACTCTCAAATGCTTTATCAAAGTCGACATTCATAATATCTTTTCCATTATACTCACATAGAGGTATTAGAAACATTCCTATAATACTGCACTATATCTATTGGTTATTGCAGCAACCAACTTCAACTCCATCAATTAAACCATAGTTCTAATCTTCAAATTCCCTACATAACTACGGAATTCATTTTAACGTATAGAGAAACGCTTTTAAGCAACTACATGGTCATATCCTTTTTCTGACCCTGGGAAATGTTATGCAGTCTCTACTAAACACATTTCCCAAAATTTCTCATGAATGGAAAAATGATGGAAAGAAATGAAGAGACCCTGGTGTTGATAACACCATTTGTCTCATGTTTGCCAGTAAAAAGTTCCTAAGACTTTTATTTTCGTCTACCCGCCGTCAGTGGTCTGCGGTTCAGCTCTCTAAGTCTACTTGATGAGAAATAGCTAGTGGCAGTACTAAACTACGAACAAGTCCACACAGTTGTCTAGTACCGATCACGATTTCTTGATTTCAATCGTGATCGGGATTTCCATTGAGGAACCGATTTAATTGCTTCTGGTGTTAACTTCATGGACTTCGGCACTCAAATCGGGCATGTGCGAACCTGTGGGTAACCAATAAAACCCGCCACTGCAGGGTTGAGTTTACGCTTTAAGCGCCCACAGCGAGCTTGCGAAAAGATCGTAAATCGAAGAATCAAAAAGGCTTTAAAAGCTAGAAGGCAGAAGAAGAAAGCATTCACGCCTCGATGTGCTTGGCCAAAATACATTTTAAGGCAGAGTACACAAATAAGGAAACCGTCGTAAGTTCACATCCGTGTCTTAATAAGTAGATTACTCACAAACTCAAAATCAACATTCTCATTTTTCGAGGTGCCAAAAGTAGGCCTGTAAAGAATGCGCATAGTTGCTAAAGCTGGGAAGGTTTGTATTCACCTTTTTTACCTCCAGATCGAGATGCCATCCAAGGGACTCGTAATAAGTCAATCAAAGTCCCCTATTAATAGTTAAATAGCCTTGTATATCCGTACTCTACGACAGATATATCCCTAATTAGCCTCTTTAATTAGACTCATTTTCAGAAAGAGATATTAAGGATTTTGCTAAATCCATTGAAAATGAAAGTCGCACAATGAGGATAGAACCCATGAAGCGCTCACAACGTGGTGTATTCCCAGAAATTGGTCAATACGGGACGGATCTGTCTCCGAAAGAACTTTGAGCAAATCTCCGAATTCAATTGTGCAACAAATTCGTTCGTAGTCAAGGGTGACTCATTTTACGAGCAATAATGCCATGCAAGATCCGTAGCTGTGCTTGGTATCGCCTGCAAACAAATGATATCAGGTCTACTGAATCTAATATATAGCCACCCCAGCACTTGTCAACGAAAGAATATATCTTCTGCTACTAATATAGAGCTTTGCAACTCCTCATATGCTGACGCTAGAAACTGCAAAATTGTGTTTAAAAAATCAAACATGTGTGGATTAAAAAAATCTGAAGGTATCCACAAGTAGCCTTGCTACTTTTTAAAATTTTAGGACTCTCTGCAACAAGTTCCTCTCATCATTAACCCGAATGTGCGATTTTGAGAAGCGCACCATCTCGTTCATGAGATTTCCAAACTGATCAAACACCAGAATTTGCTACATACACACTTTAGTCCAAATTACTACGTATGATCAAACTTTATGTGGAACAACGGATTTTTGAAGAATCACGGATCCTAAAATTAAGAGCAAGACCACACGAATCTACCTTCAGAAATTCTTAGCTAGGCTCAGAATTTTTTGTTTTCGAGGATAACACCAGTTGACAATAACTATTCCGACCAATTCAAACGCCCCCTCAGATCAAGAGCATCCAACGTCCACTTTGGTACTTTAAATTAAATTAAACCGTTTGGAACACGATCCTGCTCAACCGGCTAAAATAAACTGACAAAAGCTGCATTACACATCTGTAACACCGACTCTGAATAAGACAGCCAGAGCGTTACATATGTAATACCGGCGACGATCGCACCGGGTTGTTGACCACCTTCCTGAAAGAAAAGGTGCATAGCCAATTGGAGGCCTCTGGACAGTGGTGCAGCACACCTATGGAAACAATTGAGACTCAAAAATCTACATTTTTGGCGCCCCGAGGAAACTAAACCCAGATATCAGGTAGTATGACATTCAAAATGTTTTTTGCCCGTTCAGCGCAAAAAGGCTTTGACGAGATCATGACAAGACACAGCCAAGATTATTTCTTGTTCTTTTTGAATTGGCACATTGAAACACCTATGAGCATTCTAATGCCGAAATCCATACAACTAACTCATATTCCATAACAGGTAATATATTCAGGGGATGAAAACGCAACATGAAAAATTACTGTTAAGTTTATACACCTCAAAATAGCATTGGTAAAATCGTCTGAGTGGCATCTACACGACAGCGGGTTAGAAGGTGACTTTGACGTGGAATTTGCGAGGAACACGGGAGATGCGCCAGGAGTCCTTCTCCTCATGTTTATTGTAGAGCGGTTCGATGCGCATAGATTTCTTCGCCCTCGACAGTTTGGTAGGATCCCCGAACTTGAAGAACTTAGGCGCAAACTCCACCAGCCACCGCGGATCAATAGTGGTGACCTCGCGCATGTACTCCTTCGTCGTCATCACCAATTCATGGTAGACCACCCTAAACAGAAGCATTCCAAAGATTAGCACCCACTTACATGGACCATCGGCACAAAATGTAAAAAGATTTCGGGGACGCTCTGCGTGGGCATTCGCGAAAATTCTTGAAAACCAATTACTTAAGATATTAGGCAAATGCAATTTTTGGAAGAGAGTTTGGTTGTTATGGCAACACACACCCCGCCACGATGACAGATTATAGCAAACATTAAACTACAAACGACAGAATCATGTAAATAATCAATCCACAGGACAAATAAACTTGCACGATAGACCCTTTTATTATTTGTCTCATGCCTTTTTGAAAGTAATGGGATAATACAAACTTTAGTCTGCTAAAAATATATTTTCTGAGTCTTGCGCTTTTGGCTGAATTTAAAAATACCGACAACAAAGAAAGCGTCTGTCAACTAGACAATATCGACTTTTAAAAAAGGGAAGAACAGGTAAGAACCTTCTTAGTTCAACAACCCAGCTTTGACTGGAGAACACAGCAATAGGAAACAGACTACCGAAATAATCCTGGTCGCCAGATCGGGGAGCGAGGAAAAAAAGTTAGTCAGAATCGAAAAAAGGACCCAACAATGAGAGTGGTAATATGATGGTAGAGGGCAGTGATCAAATGAAGTCAGTATGATCTAATGCTCCCCCCACCACAAGCGCAAGTTTTGCAAAGCCCAAGTACCCATGGTACGAATTATCGCGCAAATGCGAACTTTTTTATGAACTTTCAAATAGCATTCTTTATCCTCCTATATGCATAAGAGCGCAGAAGACGTTGTCGTCAAGACTAGCAAATGAATTTTTACTTTGCTGATGCAACGTGAATGATTAAGGTATTAATCTCGAACTCATAGCATAAGCAACACCAAGGAGAACGAGGAAAAGAAAGGTGGGAGTGGAGATGGCAACTCACCAGTCGGGTTGTCTGTTGAAAAGGGAGGAGGAGGGATGAATGTAGACCACTTGCTGATCCACGAGTGTGCGATAGCCCTCCTGCGGATCCTTTTTAGCCGCATTACGGAAGAAACCGGAGAGAATGGCCTTCTGCACAAGAGCCGTCTTCTTTCCGCACGAAAGCACAGCAAGTTTATGCCTTTGGCAAAGGAAAGTGGGATTATGATAGGAAGGAAAGTGAGGACTGATTGTTCAGGTATTAATTGGTGTAAGAAACACCGTCAATGTAGGGGAATTAATAAGTTTCGATTAGTAGATTTTGCCAATTTGCTTAATTTTAAAGATACAGAAAAACAATCATGTGATAAGACGTTTTTCGCGAAAAAAAAAATCAAGGGGAATTCCATGTACGACTTTCAAAATGTGCAACCCAATTGATCAGCACAATAACGCGAAGAAAAGTGGTTGTTAGGCGTTGATTCACCGCGTTTTGTACTTGTTAGAAGGTAAACTTTGCCAGCCTAGAGCACATTTTAATCCTGTAAAACACTGGTCATTCCCTTGTGCTTCAAGGGTAATGTTCGCGCCAACCGATAAATACTATTATTCAGTTGTCCCCTTGCAACTTCAAAACACCGCAGATTACAAACAATATGTTCGAAAAGCGCTAAAGAGAACTTAAATGAACGATTTTGATGAAGGGCCTTGTGTAGGATTATTGGTCTATAAAAATATATGAAGAAATTTTATGGGTTATAGATCAATAAGGTGAGGAATGAAACCCCTAGCGAAGTGGGCTTTCACTGGAGGTAATCCAATTCGAAAATAAACTTGTATATTTTTCAACAAATTATGTAAAAATATATATGCTAAGTGTATTGAGACACAATCGCGCCAAAAGCGAGGGTTACCGAACAAAGCTTGCGTACCTGTCCATAATACCAAGAAGTTGTTTTCGTACATCTTGTGCCCGTTTAAGTGTTCTGGCCTGTACAAAATTGTCGTAACACCAGGGCGCTGAGAACTTGTTATTCTTCCATGCATTGTAGACCGCCAGTAGGGTGAGGTGATCACCTTCGGGTTGATGAAATTTAGCCTTGCGCTGGTCCGCCAATTCCGTCTTCTCCTGTGTGAAAGTAGATTACGTGTTAAAGTAAATGGTTTGTGTGAGCTTATTTCCAGGGTAAGTTTGCCTAATTACAACCCCTCGAAGAGACTCAAATTTGTACTCCGTAACAAGGGAGAAACCACATTTCAACGATAGGTTACGAGCGGAGCTTATAACATATTAAATCTTCCTCACTCTTGGAATAGCTAGAACAGACTGCATTTTGATAGAACAACCTATCTACTTTCAAAGTCTGACACTACCACTCACGAAAGCAACGGTGATCAAAGTTAAAAATAGGAAAGCACGCATAAGAGATTGATGCATAAGTTTTGATTTGATGCGAAAGTAGAAACTCAGATGGTCACAATGGTAATAAAGCAAAAAAAGCAATACGCATACACGTACCTTTGGCCGATAGAAAACATTTTGAACAGAGAGCATGGACACGATAGTAAGAACCTCCTCAGAACAGGCAAGTTGGACAGACATAATCAACATTTTGGACAACATCGGTTCAAGAGGAAATTCAGCCATCTAGAAAACGAAATAATTGAGTTATATCCCACGGAAAGCAAAAAAAATGAACACCACGTCTGCAATTTTCGTGGGATTCAAATTTCAAGGAAGTTATCACTTTCAGTGCTCAAATCAAAACGAGGATAGCTTGGTCGAGATAAAAAAAACACCTATCAGAAAATGTGAAATGATGATGGTAAATGATGAGTCCAGAAGCCTCAAACTACACAACTTTATATCAAAGCTGGTCTAACAATCGGACAAGGGAACTTGCACTTGTGCTCCAAAACAGCTGCAGACGAAAGTATTCTAGGTCTAATAGAAATGCGGATAGCAATTTTAAGCTCAAGCTATTCCAAAAACTATTTGTACTGAGAAGAGTTAAAACGAATATTTCTGGCCTCAAAACATGAAATCCTAGTTTCAAGCTAACTGGATTACCGATGGGCCGAGAAGTCAATTAGAGGGTGTAGAGGCAATATGAACCACTTGTAACTCCAATAAATCTTATAGCAGTCACGAAATGAGATTCGAATAAAAGTGAATGTGTGGGTTGACTCAGAAAATGCCTGTAATGTTGAATCACAAATAATGCCAAATTCGAATAGCAAGATACCTTGCTGAAATCACTTTTACGGAGGTGCGATTAGTTTGCGTGGTTGAAGTCCAAAAAAATCCTGATCTATAGCCAAAGTCCTCCCATGTCAACACCAATGGGTTCAAATTAACAAAAATATTTGTAAAATAAAAATAAGGAAATGACAAAGCGCTGCTTCATGAAAGATTAAGGAGGGCCAAAAAAAACCCAATAATAAATGTACAAGTTTGCAAAATTGGTGGTTATGTAAAGCTTCGCAAAGACTGGGAAAGAGTGGGCGCAATTAGGTACTGAAAAAGAAGTTGGTTATCCACTGTTTATCTAAACATTACTTGAAAAAAGCCAATTAGCAATATTCTTTTTTATCAATGGAGAGAAATAGGCGGGGCAGCGAAAATAGGAGTTTTCAAAGCCTTACCCTTCGTCCGAGACGAGTGAGCAGACCTTCATCATCAAGTGCAGAAAGAGCGTGAAGAGTAACCATGGCAGCGACCAGAGTCTGTAAAGAAAGACAAGCATGGAGAGACGTAGAAAGTAAACATTCCCCGCATTTCTCTCATCTGTACAATCAACGAGGTTAATAATCGCCGGCTGTCGTCGTTTTACTCCAGGAGGTTACAGAGGCAGAACCATTAACGGCGATATTCGGGAAAGAGAAAGAGTGGGGTGATGAAGAGTGCAGAAAACACACACTCATACGCCGGTGATAACGCCAAAGGCGAAGGAGAAACTAAGCAATACTGGAGCACTACCTCACACAGAAAGCGAAGGTATTTGGTGCACATAGAAGAGCTTAGTTGAACACAGGAAACGACTAAACTCTGCATATCATTGGAAAATTGCACTTTCTTAATAAATGTTGATCATGTCAGCTCATCAACACGTACAGCTAATGATGCAAGCGACGAGTTAAAACAGCACCGTCATGGGTCTTCAAAGTTACTTCCGGTTGTCAATGAGTGGACTCGTGAGGCAAAAAATGCGAATCCACAAAAAAGGCTCTACACAGGTATTTTTTTTCGTCTGATAACTGGACATATTACCTTAAAGAAACAGAACCGCACTTAGCATTTCAACTGAACAAATGTTAAGCTATAATTAATAAAAAAATATTTTAGGCTTAATCGCGTATATATGGCACGTTTGATTTAACATGATAGGCTACACACAAATAGAGGTTAAAAGTAGAATTGACTAGAACAGGCAGATCACAGCTCCAGCCAATTCACATTTCAAAAAACGTTTAACAAGTACAATTTAGCTTACTTACTGCCTAGGGAATGGATACTATGAAGAGCAACTAATAACGAAAATGCATCGCGTTCACCCCAGTTAAAATTTAACAAACGAACTGTTTTGCTTAGTAACACTATTTAATGACGATTCACTTTGAATAACGACAACGAAAAATTGTAATATTGTAGAGTCATTGTTATTATACAGTCCTGGAATGTATACAGCCGCTTAAAGAACAACTAATCAGTGCATTATGACAGAAAAAGTGGATGTAATGCTCAGAGCACTAATAACAGTCATTTTCTCTTGGACAGTAATCCATACTATGTACCATGCGTTTTGGGAAGCATTTCCACCCATGGGCGTGAATAAGTGGTTTAGTGAATTGGTTTTGGGATGGTGGGAGTTAGCAGGTTGAAAATGAGATGCATAACTACAAAATACTATCATAGTGGGGAGCACAGATTTTGGTGAATGCTGCTTGAAAGTGTAAATCCACATGTCTTTCCAATCGCCATTTTATTGTGCGCCTTTATTTACTACCTGCCATGAAATATGTTGTATCTTCCCCAAGGAAAATAATAAAATCAGATATCAGTCATGAATTTTGGCAGTAGTTACCCACCTGAAGAGGGGGAGGATCCATAAAATCAAATGAGAGGAGATCGTTGATGCCCATGGCCTTTAGCTGAAGCACAGTACTGGCGAGGTTGGTGCGCTGGATTTCCGGCACGTTGGTGGAGAGCATTTCGTCACGTTGAGCGCGCTCCGTATAGAGGCGGTAGCACTTACCCGGCCCCGTCCTGCCAGCCCGCCCCGCACGCTGCTTCGCTTGAGCCTTATAAAAAAAAAACAAATATTCCCTCACATTGATACGACTGCTTCCTGATACCAAACCTTCTTCCTCTATGAATGACAGTAATTATCCTTCCAACTTATAAAAATGTGATATCTTTGCAAAAAGTGCACGCAAATACAGTAAATAGATCTGAGAGACGGGACACGTGTGGTGCACTGAAAACGCACCTCGATTTTGGCAGCACAGCCAAAGGCAAGACAGGACTGATGGAAAAATAATCAAGCGAAAGAAACCAAACATTCTGGAGATAAGAACTTTACTTTTCCAGACAATGAATGGAGGCAACTTTATAATGTACCAGCGCAATTATGCGCGAACAATACGGCTCTAAAAAAGCAATACAAATTTCATGCAAAAAATATTTGAGACAGGTGAGGAAGTAATATGTTCAAATGGGACCGATTAAGATACCACTTCCGCCTGTCGGGCAATCCTCTTCTTCTTTCGCTTCCTTCTACAACTACAAAAGGGGTGGCAGAGACGCCGTCATGGAGCGCCTTAGATCAGGGTTTCAGTCATCAAACGAAATCCTTACAGTGGAGCATCTTGAAGCCATCAACATATCTCCTAATTACCCTTTGCCGTAATTATTGCACAGAGCATGAAGCTCTCAACCCGATCAATGGGTATAGGTGAATGGGGGTAGGTATGTAAATGTCGAAAATAACTAAAAGATTCTCAAGCAAAAATCGCGTCATTAACCAAAAAGCAGCCAAAGAATAAAACTCAACCAACTACAAATAATAGCAGACGCTGATCGAATTCAGAATCGAATTCGCAACAATGGTAACCGAAAGCAATAACACTTCTGCCTAATTAGGTTTGACCTATGCTTATATCCAAAAGTCGCTAGGTTCACCTGAAGGTGATGCAGATATCTTCCTTAGAATATAATCAGATTTCAACAATTTAGGAGGTGCTACCAGTGCGTATCAAAACCAAAAGATTAGCGCAAATTCGGGAGTCAAAACAACCAATCAGTAAGCGCATCAGGTGAACACGATTCCGCTTATAATCGTAGATTGGAGTAATATAACAGAATGTCAAATTATTAAATGTGATTATTAACTCACTTAGACCTAAAATATCTCGGATGCAAGGAATATTCAAAGAATTTTGAGAAAAGCTGACACAAGAAGTGGTAAGAAGGAGAGACTCCGTAATTATAAAATATGGTTATAGCCACCACTTTTTATAGCACCATAAACTAGGAATTGTATCCCAACTACTTAGTTCAAGGAGCATAGCGATAAAGAGGGGAGCAAACTGCACTGTAGATGGTAGTGGAACAGGCCATGAATTTACACCTGAGAAATGGGTGTGACGATAAGTTGATCCATCCCAGACTTGCTGCTGTAGACCTTTTGTTTGACGAAGCCGGGGTCAATGACGTAAAATATGCCATCGATGGTGAGAGAGGTCTCTGCAATGTTGGTAGCGATGACCACCTTCCGACTGCCTGGTGGTGCGGGGTCGAATATGCGAGACTGCATCTCCGAGGGCAGCGCCGCATACACCGGTAGGATGATGAGCTCGGGCACGTCAGGACCCAGCGCCTTCATGCGGTCATATAGGATTTCACAAGCCGAGTCTATCTCCTCCTGACCAGTTAGAAAGACCAAAATGTCACCTATAATATAAGACAGCTCATGAGCGTTCGTTCCCATACAGAAAGGAGTGCTCTATCAAAAATAATATGCCTATAACTCGGCATCAACTGATAATAAATGACGAGCAGAATAAATTGCCTGGGGGCTCGGTGAGATGGATTTGCATGACGGTATTGAGTGCGGCATCGAGATAGTCGCTTTCGGGTTCCAGACTGTAAAGGATCTCGACGGGGAAGGCCCGACCGGGAATCGTAAATATAGGCTAAAAGGGAAACATTGTTGACTCAACTATTCACAATTGGATCCAAAGCGCCATTCTTATCAAGCTTATTTAATGACACTCTAAATCATTTTTAGTTGTAAATAAATGCTCTCTAGAAGCATCCAAAGAGAAAAAACGTTATTGACGTATGTGCTGAAGGCCGAATTAAGTTCTCCATAAAAAGCTGAATTGGCCAAAGGATTGCATAAGCCTACCGCCTCGAAGAAGTACTGGGAGAACTTGACTGAATCCAAAGTGGCTGAGGTTACGATAAGTTTGAAATCATCACGTTTCTTAATGGCCTTCTTGAGGAGACCGAAGAGCACGTCTGTGTGAATGGTGCGCTCGTGGGCCTCATCCAACATGAGGACAGAGTACTGGCAGAGATCGGGGTCGATGAGGCACTCTCTAAGCAGCATACCCTCCGTCATGTACTTTATCTTCGTCTCGGGCGTGGTGCAGTCCTCAAAACGGATAGTGTAACCGACTTCCTGACCCAACCGACAGCCAAACTCTTCAGATACCTTTTGTGGAAAAAAAGAGCATTATGAACCTACACAATTACTCCTACTAGTTTTTAATTCAAAAGAGTAATATTTCATTAAAAAAACAGTAACTGAATAGCGATATAAGGTTAAAGGGATAGGAGGAAGGAAATAATTCACATGAATCATATTCCACTAAAGCAAACAAATACTAAGATTTGCAACTGCATGTAGCCTAAATTTGGCATGAATTACTAACACCCGTTTCGAGACAAAGCTACCTGAGAAGAGTATCAACGACGATTTGTAAGAAGTGGGAAACAAGTTAGGGGC